GGGGGGCAGTGCGGGGGACTCCAGCCATTCTGCATGTGTCGCGCTGATGAAGCGAATCGTCGCATCCGGGCCGGCCGAAATCGGAGGTCCCCCTCCGACGGGAGCCGACGACGCCCTATCTAGCTCCGCACCGCCCGGTCCACCAACACACTACACCCCCGCCCGACAGTGGCCAGGCTTGTATGCTTACTTTCGCACGCACGCGTTAACTCGGTTATCCGTCTATTTCAGATGCCGGTGGGAAATTGCACTGCTTGTATTGACCGTTTGCTCGCTCCGGGAGACCAATCTTGAATGACCCCTCTCCTTTATGAGGAAGTTGCCCAATAAGAGGAACAAAAAGAAGGTAGCACTGAGGAGGTGGCGTGGCGTAGCGCCGTCCCTCAACAAAGCAGAACGCCGGTGCCGGTGGGTGACGCCGGGGACCATACTGTGTTTTATCGCGAGTGGATGTGTGATCATAAATCAAGTTTTGTAGAATTTGTAAAGAAAAATTGGGTCCAGACTAGACCGGCGTAGCAACATAGTGTCAAAAAGTGCTTCTGCAAAGTTTGGCTTCGGAAAAGTAAGTTTATACAATCTTTTAAACCGTCCCGGTGTCGTTGTTTAGGTTAGTGTGTAATTTCCCGTCCTACAAGGTTTCGCAGCGGGCCTAAGTGGGATTGGGCGAGTAGGGGAAGCGGGGAAGCGCTGGGCTGCGCTGGGCGGGCTGAGCTTTTGCCCGGACCGGTCTCTCTCTCTCTACCTCCCTCCTCTCTCTCCCTCCCCTCCCTCTCTCTTTCTCACACACTCCCTCTCGCTCTCTCTCTCTCTACTGGTGCGCCACGCATCTCTCGCTCCCTGGAAATTACACAGATTGGGACAAATGTCGTGTATATTGATGTCAATCATGGAGATGAGGACGGGACAGGGCGGACGGGGTGGGGCGGGTTGGGGCGTCACTGGAAGGGGTGGGGGTGGGGGGCGTCGACACGCTGTCCGAACCACTTTATCCCCGTACCTCACATCATGTCACTTAGTGGTGGAGGAAAAAAATATGGGCCTCACCATCGGGCACTTTCTCTCTTTGCTTCTCTCTCTCGCTCCCGCTCTCTGCCCGCCATACATGGCGAAATTGGTTGCGAAAGTCACGCGAGCGAACCCGTGAGCGACATCGTGCATGGTGCACACTTTTTCTGCCCCACCCGCCTCTCTGCTTCAGAATACCCTTTTTGCTGTATCGAACAGAACAAATTCATTTCTACTACCCTCCCCAGCCCTCCCTTCCCCCTCTTTCTCTTCTGTCCTTTCTACTCTATGACTGGGCGGAGAACAGCAAGTTATTTGATTGTTTGATTGTATCCGGAGTCATTTTCCAGAGGTCAACTGCGCTGCACACCGGGGGCATTGCGGCAGCACGGACGGGACTGAGAGCAACGAGCAACAGAGAGAAGAATCGTGACTCTCCTTCACTGGGGTTCGTATGAAAAATATATTTAAAAAATCTGCTTAAATCGTTGTTGTCTCCCGGAATCTTTCGAATCGTCTTCCTCTGACTACTGAAACCACACAGCCCAGTCCGGTGTCCGCACTACAGACCCCTCCCCCCTCCCCGCCCCCTTCCTCACCATCAGGCAGGGTGGGCGCCCGGGCAGCGAGCAGCAGCGGAGCGCCCGGCTTGAGTTTTGCTGCCATCACTTTGTATGGAAATGCAGTCGACTTTTTTTCCGCCCTCCCCCCTCCCGGCTGCTGTCATTTAAACTCGTCCCGGGGCGAGCGGGGCCGCGTACTGGGCGCCGCCGGCCTGCGGCCCAGGGGGGGCCACCGACACGCACATACACGCACGAAGACCACGAGACCGGTTCACAATTTCGGGGGTTTAGACGGCTCAAGTTGAGGGGAAGTTTGGTACGTATCATGGCCCCGAGCGGAGTTGTTGTGGTTCCTTACGTAGAGGGCGGGTAGGCAGATCCACCGAAGCTGAAATAAAGCAGGGGGTGCATTTGCGTTCAGTAGCAGGAGGGGGTACGTAGCGAGTTCGCCGCTGAGCACTGACTTTATTCTGTATTCTTGCACAGAAAACGTGATTTTTTTTCTTCTTCTACGCGCTGTCCTCTCTGCTGTTTCCCCAGCTTCGTTCCCACCGCCGCACGAGTCGCGGCCATCCCCCAAAAGGGCGTAACTGACTTTATCTCTCACCGTTTCGAGAAAACTTTCTCGCAGTTGGGTGCGCCGCGGCGGTGAGGGGGGGGGGAGGGGTAGGGGCAGGGCCAGCCGTCCTGGTGGGCAGGCGGGGCCCCGCCACGCCCCGCCACGCCGAGCTCGTTTTACGTTTCTTCATTTCGCGATCTAATTCCCATCGCTGCGGCCGCCGCTGCAGCCGCCGCCGCCCCCGCCGCCCACTCCAGCTCCAGCGGGCCGCTGTGTGCGCGAGCGCGCGCGCGCCCGGGCTCCAGATTAACTCCAGTAACCTTTCTCCGGCGCCGCTGCTGCTGCCGCTCCTCCAGGCCGCCTGCTTTCCATAACGCCCCGCCACGCCCCGCCACGCCCCGCCACGCCCCGCCACGCCTCGCCACGCCTCGCCTCGACACGCCACGCCACGCGCTTGAAGCCTTGTTATCAGCGCCTACAGCAGGATGCGGGGAAGAAAAAGGCCTCATTACAGCCGTGCTAACGCGGGTTGAGAAAATCCCGCCAGGACGTTCTCTGTACTGCCCATGCCCTCGTCCCGCCCCACCCCGCCCCGCCCCGCCCCACCGGAGGTGCAACAACGTGAGCGGCAAGGTGAGGCGGAGGGCGAGCGGCTCGCAGCTCAGCCGAGGCGCGGGGGTCAGCGGAGCGGCCCGCGAGATGGAAAAGAAAAAATACAAAAACAAATCTGCGGTGCTAAAAGGGGCGGGGAGGACGGGACAAGGAAGGCGTGGACGATGACTTCCATACTCCTAGGGGTCGCAGCGGTATGGGGAGGGAAGGCTGTTGAAAATCTGTGAGTCCTGAGGCTCTTTTTCGAAAGCGTGGGAAGGCAAGAGAGACAGCGACAGAGAGAGAGAGAGAGAGAGAGAGAGAGAGAGAGAGA